GTAAATTTCCATGCTTCCTCCTCAAATATAATACATTTTTTAAAATTTGTGTGTGTGTGTGTGTATAACGCCAAACATCCCAAACCATCTTATTCAACTATACACCCACTTCCCAGATGGCACCCTCCCATAGCCTCCCTCCCCCCTTATTGGTCTTTTTTTATTTTTATTTTTTTGGTCTTTTTTGAGACAGGGTCTCCCTGTAGCCCCAGCTGTCCTGGAACTCGCTATGTAGACCAGGCTGGCCTTGAACTCACAGAGATCCGCCTGCCTCTGCCTACGGTGCTGGGATTAAAGGCATGTGCCACCACACCCAGCTTTATTGGTCTTTTAAAAAAATTTTTATTTATTATTTTTATTTTATGTGTATGAGTGTTATGCCTGCATGCAGGTAAGTGCACCCCTGTCATACAATACCCACAGAGGACAGAAGAGGCCATCGGATCCCCTGGAACTGGAGTCATGGACAGTTGTTAGCTGCCATGTGGGTGCTGGGATTTGAACCGGGTCTTCTGCAAAAACAACCAGTGTTCTTAACTGCTGAGCTATCTCTCCAGCCCCTTTTGTTGGTCTTTTTGAGACAGCGTCTCCCTGTAGCCCCAGCTGGCCTGGAACTCATTATGTAAACCAGGCTGTCCTTGAACTTACCTGCCTCTGCCTCCCAAGTGCTGGGATCACAGACGTGCACCACCATGCCCGGCTCATGCCTGGTCTTTTGACAAATTTTTGTAAGCGTTCACAAAACCATTATAAGGTGAGTACTAAAGTATAAAATTGTCACAAACAATAAAAACAATATACACACAAAAGTAACATTAATACATGGGGTGTATTTCTTTTCCCCTTCAGTTTGGTCACAGGGCCAGTCCTAAAAGTCAAGAGCAGCACCTGTGTCTTCAGCACCCAGCATAGGACTTGACAGGACAAAATGTTCTTGGTGTTGAGAATGAAGAAAATCAGTCATACAATGGAGTCACTAAAATCCCTGTCAATTGCTGTTCTATTGGATGCTTCATATCCATGCACTCATGTTCAGCAGGTGTGTTGTTACACTCTTTTTCCATACTTGGGGAAACTCAGGCACAGAGCAGGAGGTGGCTTGTGCAACAGCGCAAGTATGGCAGAGTATTGTGTTACACACACTTCACACCACTCATCCCACTGCTAGTGTAGCTGTCATACTTCGGTGCATGCTCAATCAGTATTCAGCACTACCCTAGAACTAGCTAGAAATGGGCATTCAGGGGCCCCGCCCAAATGTGCTGAACCCCAAACTCTGGATCTGGGTTTCAGGAAGCCCTCTAGGATCTGGTGCAGGCCAAAGTTCTAGGATCACCATTTTACAATAAATAATCCTACAAAATCACTACAATTATTCCTACTTTGCAAATAGGGTAAATGACACACAGCAGGGAGGGCAACTGGTCCAGGACCACATAGCTGCACCATGTTCAAACCCAGACAGTTGGCCTCACTTAGGCAAATCAGAGTTGACATCAGAACCAAATCAGGATCAGTAGCTTTTGGCCGTTTAGGAACAGCTCCATACTGAATACTTATTCAAGCCAAGCACTGTCCCTAGCTGATGGGGGTGTCTCACTGAAGAATCACTCAGAGGGCCAGAACCTATGGCGAAACAGGTTGGGCGGCTCCTTTAAAAGGTGGAGCCAGGCCCCGGAACTGTGGAGCCAGGCTACATAGCGCATCCATCCGGAAGTTTGAAACTGATACACGCGGAAGTGTTGTAGACACGAGGCAGCCTTGCCGCTGGAAGCGTTTCCGCTATGGGCTGCAACAAGAAGAAGAAGAAGAAGCAGCAGCGAGGTGGCGATGACCGGCGGCCCCGGCTCGTTCTCAACTTCGACGAAGAGAAGCGGCGGTGAGTGGCAAGGCCGAATGATTTTTGGCGGCCTGCCGGCCGAGGCCGCGTCTAGGCCCGGGAGCGCACGCTCTCGCGGAGGGTCCTTCCGGCTCCGCCCCTGGGTGCAACCGGAGTTTATGCTCCGCTCCCTAGGCAGTGGGATGGAGTCGTCCCCTTTTCCGCGGCTCTGGACCTCCGGCTCGCTCTGAGGCCTTGAACCACTGGAGTCCAGCCGGGTCCATAGCCCTGGTACACACCCGGCTCTCCGCCGTCGTGGACGCATGCGCGTGGTTTATGTTCATTCATTCATCCATTCATTCATTCTTCTGATGACTTATGGGGCCCCTACAGTATGCCGAGCTTGGGGCCGGGAAGCTAAACCCCAGGGTTTCAGTGTAATGGTGGCTAAATGACACTTGGTGATGGGTCTGCAAAAACACCAAACAAAACTGGAACTGCCCGGCCTGGTGGTGCAGACCTGTAATCCTAGTCACCCAGGAGCTGAGGCAGGAGGCAGGAGGATTCAAGCTCTACCTGGGCTACAGAGAGTTAAAGACCACGTTGTGCAATTTGTCAAGACTCTGTCTCAAAATAAAAAGTTCTTTTTAGCTAAGTGGCAGAACTCTTGCCTAGTATAAACAAGGCACTAGGTTCAACCCTTCAGTACCACATCAACAAAACAGCAAAAAGGGAGGACTGGGAGTGGAAGCGCTCATCTTTAATCCCAGGACTTGGGAGGCAGAGGCAGGTGGATCTCTGAGTTCAAGGCCAGCCTGGTCTACCTAGTGAGTTCCAGGCCAGCTGGGCTACAGGGAGACCCTGTCTTGAAAAGACCAACAACAACAAGAACGAGGACAGAGTAGCCAGCACCAGAGAGATGAGAAAAGTGGCAGAGATCCCAGGATAAGGGAGCAAGAGTCCAGGAGCCACCAGGAAACTCGGGAGCATCAGTAGGTGCTTCCCCACAGGGGTCAGGTGTCCTGGGGAACTGGGTGTTCATCCAGGGAAGGAATTTTGCAGGCCTAGGTAAAAGGTCTAGTAGGTGAAAGCCCTACTAGAAGTGATTCCCTGGGATCACTTATGTGATCTGATGGTCAAGCCAGGACTAACAACTTATTTCTCATAATGTACCCTTTGTATCATTAAATGATGCATAACTATATTCTCCGTGACTTCGGATTAAGTGCCCTAGACTCTGCCTCAGTGTCCCTGTTTGTAAAATGAAAACTGATACAGATTGCTGGGAGGATTAAGGGAGTGAACAGGCAGGATGGAGTCTGGCACATAGCACAGCATTGGCTGTTTTTCTAGAGTGCTTCTCTGGTTATATAGCTCCTTCTGACTCAGGTTCTGTCTCCCCCATTTTCTTCTTGCAGGGAGTATCTTACCGGCTTCCACAAACGGAAGGTAGAACGGAAGAAGGCAGCCATTGAGGAGATTAAACAGCGGCTGAAACAGGAGCAGAAGAAACTCCGGGAGGAGGTACAGTGCAGGGAAAGGCAGAGGGATGGCTCTGAATCCCAGGGGACTTGCAGCCTTGGATGGCTGTGATGGAGGCAGCTGGGTAGACAGAGCAGAGGGTATGCGAACAGGATGAAGAACAGCTTATACAGGTAGAGACCCTGGAGGAGGGAAGTTTCTTGAACTTGCTTCCTGAGCCATGGTCTCCTACTGTGGAAGTATACAAGCCACTGCCCAGGACTGGGCAGAGAGGCCGTACTCACTCTCTGCATTTCTTAGTTTTTTTTTTCCCTGTTGCTGTGATAAAATACTCTGACAAAAGCAGCTTAAGGGAGGAAGGTTATTCAGGCTCTTAGTTCAAGGCTACAGTTTGTCAAGGCAGGGAGGTCAGGGTGCCAGGAGCTTGAAGCAACTGGTCACATCACATCCATAGTCAGGAAACAGAGTGATGCGTGCTGCTGCCCAGCTCCCCTTCTCCACTTAGACAGTCCAGGATCCCAACCAGGGAATGGTGCCACCCGCAATGCACAGGTCTTCTGCCTCAATTAACAAAATCACTAGGTATGCAGAGGCCCTTCTCCCAGGCCATTGTAGAAACTGTCAGGTTGACCGTTAAACACATCTTCCCATTTGGTTTCAGCGCCACCAGGAATACCTGAAAATGCTGGCAGAGAGAGAGGAGGCACTGGGTAAGTCCCCACCTTCGCCTCAGTGAGCCTGGTTTCTTTGTCTCCTGGTGGGGGAAGAGGAGAGGGGGAGAAAGCAGTGTAGAGGGTGATATCCTTAGCTGTAGGGGTCGGGGCGGTGACCTGGTGGTCTAAGTGCAAGTGGATGGAGACCAGGAATCCCAGGCCACTTGTAAACTGAAGCTGAACAGAGAGCCTGGTTTCCGAGTATTGAAGAGACTGGTGATAGACCACCTTCTGTTGTCACTCAGTTTCTCCAAAAGAGGGACAGTTTGGAGCAGGAATGGATGAGAGGCTCATTACAGCACTCAGCTGTGGGCCAGGCTCTAGACCTGTGCCTTTGTCGATGCAGGAGGAATGAAGGGGGAGACAGGAGGGGCTCAGTGGTAAGAAGGGCTGACTCTAGAAAACAGCCAATACTGTACTCTCTGTCAGGCTCCATCCCTTCAGGGCTGGGAGGGAGGCTGGAGCCTGTTGACTCAGCCTGGACTGGGGCCTGGTCTGTACCTATCCTGCAGAGGAGGCAGATGAGCTAGAGCGGCTGGTAACAGCAAAGACGGAGTCAGTGCAGTATGATCACCCCAACCACACAGTCACCGTGACCACCATCAGCAACCTGGACCTCTCTGGTGCCCGGCTCTTGGGTCTGCCCCTACCTGAGGTAGGTCCCAGGATAGCCCTGGGGAAGGAGGGGCTACAGTACAGATGGGCTTGTGGGGGACTGCTTAATGATGAACCAAGTCAAGGGTCTTCCAGTGCAAAGGCACCCCAACCCCTGGGGCATCAGAGACTGCCTGTTGTGGAATGCCGAATGAGTTTGGGCAGCGTTTGTTGCCTGGTCCAGCATTTGTCAGTTGGGTGTTACCTGCCTGGGTAGGAAAGGGGTTACCATGAGGCTGGATGAAGGGGGGATTCCTGTGACTCCATAGACACTGAGTGAGTGCTCAGCAGATGACTTTTACGGTGATCATTCCCTTGCATGAAAAACAGCACACCATGGCATGTCTGTGCCCTGGCAGTGAGTTTATAACCTGTGGTTGAGAGGCCTCAGTAGCTTTTGCTATAATTGAAAACACCAGACAGCATCCCTGTATGACTTGTGTAGGAATTTCTGTACATGGACCCTGGGTACCCACCCACAGAGCAGGGCTGCTTCTGGGGCCCTTTTAGATACCCAAGTCTACAGATGCTCAAGTCCCTTAAATAAAATGCTGTGATATTTTCATAGAACCTACATGTGTCCTCCCATGTTCTTTAAATCATCTCTGACGTACTTAGAAAATTGAGTACAGGGCCTGCGAGATGGCTCAGCAGGTAAAGGTGCTTGCTGCCAACCTAGGGCCAGAGTTTGATCCCTGAAAGCTACTTGGTAGAAGGAGAGAACTGACTCCCATAGGTTGTCCTCTGTCCTGCACACCTGCAGTGGGAGGCTGAATACAATGTAAATGCTGTGTAAATAGTTGTTACACTGTAGAATTTGGAGAGTAATGACAGAAGTCTGCACATGCTCAGTGCAGTACAGATGCAGGGTTTTCTTTCCAGGTGTTTTCATTTCTTTTCACCCTGCAGTTGGCTGACTGACTGCCCAGATGGGTGAGCCAGAGAATGAGTGCTTAGGGTAGAAAGCACATTTCTGTTCTGAGGATGCAGCTCACTGGTAGGACTTTGCCTGGCATGTGTGAGACTAGATTCAGTCCCCAACACCATAAAAACATGGAGACACAGGGAGATAGAGGCTGGAGGATCATGAATTCAAGACCAGCCTGGGCTACATAATAAGCCCCTGTCTCAAGAAGAAGAAAAAAACTTTCCTCCCATGGGTTACAATGTCCCTGTGTCCTGAAGAGCCGCTGCCTTTGGTGATGACTGACCTCCACTCTCCTTCCTCTTTATGATCCTCCCTCTCTAAGGTGTGACACAGTGACAAGTCTTCTTGCCATTTTACTGGTCTTTTGTTGGTCAATGTCTGAGTGTCTGGCATACACCACTTGCATGAGGCAAGGAGAGTTTGGAAGTAGACTGTCTTGTGTCATCCTGGCTCTTAGGCACAAACTGTGTTCTTCCCAGAGCCTTCTCTGAACCTACCCAGGCCTGTGAGATGACTGGTCGGGCCCCCACATGACAGCCAAGACTGCTCAGGGTGCCAGCCATACCCTATCTGCTCCCTGAAACTGTCCTTGTCCTGTTTTTCTAGGAAGGGGACCGGGATGGATCCCAGGAGGAGGTGACATCTACAGAGAAGCCAACCAGGGCCTTGCCCAAGAAGTCCAAAGACCCCCTTCTGTCTCAACGGTGAGTTCTGGCCTGTGGTCTCCTGGGTCCCACCCCTAGCTGGCACTTGTGGCTGAGCCTGTGGAGCCACCCTCCTCCAAGGAGGGTGGCATAGGGCAGGGATGAGGCTGGCAGGCTCACTGGAGCCAGAGCAGGCTAACTCTGAGATGAGTTTGGTGCTCTTGGTGTTTGGGACCTGTCCTGACTTCCCATCCATGAGCCAGGTGATGACTCTCCCCCTCCTTAGCCTCCCACAACTGCCTGATTCCCCAGGATAAGCTGCCCTAGCCTCACCAATCTCCACCCTCCTACAGGATCTCCTCTCTTACGGCCTCACTGCATGCACACAGCCGGAAAAAGGTCAAGAGGAAACACCCCCGACAGGCCCAGGACTCAACCAAGAAACCACCAAGTGCTACTCGTACCAGCAAGAGCCAGCGCCGCAGACTGACAGGAAAAGCCCGGCACAGTGGGGAGTGAGTCCCAAGAACCCAGTGGGACCCCAGCCAAGGCTGCAGGCCTGTGCTGTCTCAGCTTGGCTGTCCCTGTAACCTAGTCATACTGAGGGATAACTCTGCAGCCCAAGCCTGGGAAATCAGGACCTCTTCAGTTGGGGCCATTCTTGCTTAGGAACCATTGGGGCTTGTGCCTGGAAGGAATAGGCATCTGAGAACCCTGTCCCCAGGATCCTGTGGGACAGCCTTGGGTATCCTCACAAATGTACATTGCCTAGGACTCATCAGATTTGTGAAATTCATCATATGTGTGCTTGTGTTTGTCCTGGCCTTGATACTCTGTGCCAGGGGTAGGCTTTTGGGGTAGGGGAAATGCGCAGGAGTCAGGGGTCCCTCCTCCCATTACCAGGTTTTCCTGGGGGTATGATGTGATCTTGTCAGATATGTCCATTGTAGAATCTGGAGCCCCTAGCCAGCATGGTAATCCCATCACCAAGGAGGGTAGGGCGGGAGAATCTGTTCAAGGTCATCTTCAGCTACATAGGGAGTTTTACACCAGCTTGGGCTCTATGAGGCTTTGACTTAAAAAAAAAAGAAGACCACTATTAGTTTGTTTCTCCGTTGCTGTGACAAAATACCCTGACCAGTACCAACTTGAGAAGGAAAGGGTTTATTTGGCTTACATCTCCTGGATCACATCAGGGAACCCAAGGTAGGAACTTGGCAGGAATCTGGAGGCAGGAGCTGGCATGGAGCGCTCAGGTCGGCCTTTAGCTGGGACTCTCCTGGCCCGGCCTCAGCCCCTCCCCTGCCCTCTCTGCTGTCCTTTCAGTGCTTGGAAAGTAGTGACTTATCTGTTTGGCTGTCTTGGGCCTTGAGGGGCTTGGCTCTTCAAGAAGTTCTGGGCCTCAGCCTTCAGGCCGCTGAGCAGTACAGCCAGCCCTGGAGTGTGGAGATTTGGTTCCTGTGTAGGCTTCCAGCTGTGCTGCCCTCTTGGCTTTCTTATCCTGTGTGGCCTTGCCTTAGGGCCACCCAGTCCTCAGTTGGGGAGGTAGAGTCAGAACACCCTAGAAAACTTGCTGCTTCTCCTAGGAGTCTCCTTTCATGCTCCAAGCTTGGACTTCTTACCTATCACTATCCTGGGCCAACAGATAGACATCTAGGGGCTTTATCAAGAACAGTGAGCTTAGTCAGACATGGTAACACATGCCTGTAATCCTAGCATTTGGGAAGCAGAGGTGGAAGGATTGCTGCAGGTTCTAGGCCAGTCAGGACTACGAGCCTGTCTCAAAACAACAAACAAGAAAAAGGATGATGAGGTGATTCAGGCATAGAGACACCTGTCATCCCTGCAGCTTTGGAGGCTAAGGTAGGAGAATCCCAAATTCTAGGCCAACCTAGGCTACATGGCAAGAGTTAGGAAGAGTGAGGTTTAGCTACATACACTCAAAAATTAACAACTAACTTATGCAGTAGTGGGTGTCGGGATGAGAAGAGGTGGTTACCAGCCTGGAACTGGAAAGACTATCATGGCAGGCTTTTAGGTCTTCCTTTTATGACATTCTAAAAAAAATTTTTTGCCGGGTACGGTAGTACATGCCTTTAATCCCAGTGCTTGGGAGGCAGAGGCAGGCAGATCTCTGTGAGATCAAGACCAGCCTGGTCTACATACTGAGTTCCAGGACAGTTGGAGCTACAGAGAGACTCTGTCTCAAAAAAAAAAGAAAGTTATTGCCTGCATGTGTGTAAGTGCACCCTTACTATGCCCACAAAGTTCAGAAGAGGATGTCAGATCCCCTGGAACTGGAGTTAGGGAGGGTGTTAGCTGCCATGTGGGAGCTAAGAATCGAACCCAGGTCTTCTGCAAGAGCAGCCAGTGCTCTTAACTGCCGAGCCATCTCTCCAGCCCAACGTCATTTTTTGACATAACTTCTACGTCAGCCCAAGATAGTCGCTTGAGCTGCAGCTGTTAAACCTGCCTTTTAGCCAGTAGGAAGGGGGAGGGGTGAAAGACAACTTTCAAAAACTCTTGTCAGGACTCGGCAGTTAAGAGTACTGTTGCTCTCAGAGGACCTGGGTTTGGTTCCCAGCACCCACATGGCAGCTAACAAACGTCTAAGAAGAGGGCTCTGAATCCCTCTTCTGGGCTCCACAGGTTTCCATGTACAGGTTACATACACTTAAATGCACATGCATACAGGCAAAACATGCATACATGAAGTAAAAATTAAATCTTGACACTTGTTCTGTTGGCCAGGTAGAAGACAAAGACCTGGTGCATTGTTGCAAGAGAGGCTCAAAACTCTGGTCTATTCTGGGAATGCTAGTGCCCAGAGGAGAACTGGGGGGTTACTAACAAAGGGGAGAAGAGATATTGTGGCCCAGCTAGTAGGTTCTTTTCCAGAAGCCATGTGCATGAAGAGCAGTGGTGAGGGGACTCAACAGTAAAGGACTAAAGGACCTTGTCCATTCCTGTGCGGCTCCTGGCAGGATGACTGGCAGTGGCTGTGGTTACTGGGAGCTGGTTCTGCCCAGGGAAAGCAAACATTGACAGACCAGAGCAGTGACAAGGGCATCCGCAGCTTCTGAGCAGAAGCTCCCTGTGATGTGTCAGGAAATGCTCTTCCTGAACAAGGTGACAGGAGGGGATTGGTGTGTGGCCCCGAAGTCCAGGAGAACAAGGGAAGGGGGCTCTGAAAAGAGGAAACCTGGGCTGGGTGAAATCTGGGGCTAGGGCTTTGTTTCTGAGAGGTCCCCTGGTGACAGTGTGGGACGTGCAGGCAGACTGGATGCTCTGAAACCTAGGGCAAACGTCCAGGGAGAGGTGGGAGGGTCTCCTGCATGTACTCACTCTTTCACTATGGATCCAGTGGTGAGCAAGACAAAGACAGCTGACATACCCTGAGCAAAGTTGAGGGGACTCCAAGGAGGGAACTGAAGAAAGATGGTAACTAACACCCTCCAAGCTGGGTAGCCCAGCCCAAAGAAACCACAGCCAAGATACCCTCCAGAAGGGACAGCTCAGAGTCCCCAAGGAGAAAGACACCCTGGGAGGCTTGTAAGTCCTGCCCAGGATATCAGCTAAGACCCCTTGCTTCAGGCTGGGGAAGGCGGCAGAGAAGGGCTTTCTGGAGGGCATGGTGTGTGAACCATCAGGAAGCAAAGGAAAATCTATAGGAGCTGAAGAAATGGCTCAGTGGTTAAGAGTGCTTGCTGCTCTTGCAGAAAACCTGAGTTCAGTTCCCAGCACCCAGCACCAATCAGGTGACTCACAACTACCTGTAACTCCAGTTTGGAATGTGGTGGGGGACCCCATACTCTTCTGATTTCCAAAAAGACTGTACTAATGGGCAAAACCCACACACAAATACATAATTAAAAGTAAAAATAAAATTATTCAGGGACTGGAGAGATGGCTCAGTGGTTAAGAGCATTGGCTGCTCTTGCAAAGGACCCGGGTTTGATTCCCAGCACCCACACTGTGACTAACATTCGTAACTCCAGTTCTAGGGGATCTGACTCCCTCTTCTGACTTCTTCGGGCACTGCATGACATGGGTGCACCTACCTACATGCAAGCAATACACATTAAATAAAAATAATAAGCAAGCCAGGAGTGGTGGCACACACCTTTAATCCCAACACTTGGGAGGCAGGGGCAAGTGGATCTCTGTGAGTTCAAGGCCAGCCTGATCTACACAGTGAGTTTCAGGCCAGTTGTGGCTACAGGAAGACCCTGTCTCAAAAAGACCAAAATAAATAATAAAAATTTTTAAAATGCATTGAAAGAAAATCTATGATTGATCATTTCAGAGATGGCACAGAAAAGACCTGAAGGCTTAGTGTAGATTTAGTGACAGTTTGAAAAACAACTTAGTAAAAATAATTGCACTGTACTTCCTGATTGGCTCAGCTGTGAGCAAACTCCTATCACCACAGCAATGGGCCCGCCCTGCCGCCATGCCCTGTTCTGTGATATGACTCGCTACTTCAAGTTCCTGCCTTGACTTTTCCTCAAGTGTGAGTCAAAAACAAATCTTTACTAACTTGAAAATGTAATGTTTGAACTTGTTGAAATTTTCCTACAAAAGCAAAGATTTATGATTTCTCCAATAAACCCAGCCATATGAGGTCATCACTCTACAGGGCAGCTCTAGGCTGCTGCCAGCTCTGACAACACCATCGGAGACCCACATATCCTCCAGGATGTCCCTGCTCTACCAGACAGCAGACCCCTGCCCTCTGCAGAGGCTCTCAACCCTCCACAGCCTATAGGAAGGAAGGCTCAGTGGTCCTTCCACTTACCAGATGAAGAAACAGGTTCTGGGGGAAGAGTGGGGCCAAAGCTATGTGGAATCACTCCACTCCCCAGGTCTTTGAGGGGTCACAGCCAGGGTGATGGTCTGAGTGAAGGTATGGAGCCAAGGGCTGGCAAGGTGGCTCAACAGTAAAGATGCTTGCCACGTGTTTCTGTTTTATTTCTGTGCCTTGTTAAACCACCCTGACAGAAAGCAACTTAGGGGGAAAAGGGTTTATTTTAGCTCCCAATCCCAGGTCGTCACGGTCCTTCATAGCAGGGAAGTCAAGGCAGGAACTTGAAGCAGCGAGTCACATCATATCCACAGTCAAGGGCAGAGAGGAAATGAATACATGCATGTTTACTTGTGGTCACCCGCAACACACACATTTCTACAGTTCAGGACCCCATGCTTAGGAAATGGTGCTGCCCACAGTGGGTGGCTCTTTCTACCTCAATCTAGTAATCCAAACAATCCCACACACACAGCCTACAGGCCAACGTGATCTAGACAATCCATCGAGACTTTCTTCCCAGGTGACTAGAGACTGTGGGACATTGACAATTGAAGCCAAGCATCACACAGCTCAAGCCTAATGACCTTAGCTTGATTCTCAGAACCACATAACAGTGGAAGGAGAGCACCATCTCCAGAGAGTTGTCCTCTGACCTCCATGTATGTGCTGTGACATGTGTGCCTCCCCATACATCATACACACACATAATAAATTTAAAAGGGGTGAAGCTGCCGGATGTAGTGGTGCATGCCTTTAATCCCAGCACTTGGGAGGCAGAGGCATGCAGAGCTCTGTGAGCTTGAGGCCAGCCTGGTTACATAGGGAGTTCCAAGCCAGCTGGGGCTGTCCCCTTTTTTAAAAAAAAAAAAAAAAAAAAAAAAAAAAAAAAAAAGTGTGAAGCCAGGAAGTCCAGAACTGGAGACAGGAGGGTGAGGCCACATCTGAATGGTGAGGGGTGACTCCCCTGGTCCACCAGGATGTACTCAGTTGAACCCTTTGAACAGTACACAGAGCTCTGGGGCGTGGTTCATAGCTGATTGGGCCTGACTGCCCCTTTGGTGAATGGGGACAAGTAGGCAGTGGTCCTTGTGTCCCAGAGGCACAAAAATGCCCCTGTGTGAGTGAGAGGATAAACTACCTCCTAGTGTCGTTACCCAGACTGCTAAAAGCTTTCCAGACTCAGCCACCCTCCTCACCAGCCTCTACAAGAGGCTGTGACTTCTCTCACAGTCCCCTTTGCCTCCACCCTTTCCTGCCTTTCTCGAAGGCTCTGAAGCTAAAGGAAGCAC